CTTTGTAGCATGACCTTTCTGCTCTTTGGTAGTAGCACATACAGTTCATTAATTTTGTCAAAAATAATTTGACGTATGTAGATTATGTTTAAATAATCTGCTTTCTTATAAAACAATATTAAATCCAGTTGTTTACTTCCTTGCACATTTCTAGGCATTTCTTATGTCTACATTAACATGTAAATGTGTAATTGTATTTTCAAAATCTGTCAGTTCAGTTGCTTAAGTCTTGTGTGAAATACTCAGTATTTAACAGAATTAGGCCCAACATTTTGACCTTTTACCAATTTGTGCTGCTTTCCATTAAAAAAGCAGCTGATCTGTATAATGATTGTGTTTGTTCAGTAGCAGCGACCCTTAACCCAGCAGTTCAGAGCATCTTATCAGATGACTGTCTGACCTTGAGAAAATTGGTCTAAATGATTTCCTGTTGTTAAAAGGGGAGTGATATTGACTGATGCCTTTATTCCTTGACATCCTGTTGCTAAGAGAAAGCAGAGGCTTTAATGTTCATATGTATATTATAAGTAACATCTATCATTTGTAAGTAAGAATTAAAATAATAATGACTCAACATGGGAAGTTACTCACACAATGAAATAAGACGCAGCAATACACAATCACAAATATATATACTTTTGATATTTACCATAAATATATTAAAGACAATGTGGCTTTTGTTTAGTAGTGTTAAGGATTTTGTTTTCTTACATTTAGAACAAAACATGTAAAAGTGAATGTGTGTAGTTGGAAGTTATCCCTCACCTTGGCCTGAGCCCATCTGTTTCCACTTACCACTATAGCAGGGCATGTACACTGTCAGCCTTGAAAGCTCTGCTCTCGTTCTGGGGACTGTCAGTGAAATGTTCAATGGGGCTCTGTCTTTATTACAGTACACTCAAATATAGCTACTGACCTCAACTGTTTTAGAAACGTCCATGTGGCATTTCATGCAGTTTAATATGCTTACTGTAACAATTTCTTTCAGTGTATAAATAAGAAGTTAGATACTGAAAATTGTATGCATTATTTAAACAATTATATGTATTATCTCCTGGTAAAGCAAGTTGAATCATATGCAACAAGAATCAAGAAATCATTTTGCTCAACATTTTTTATTTAAATTTAATGAAGTCAGTGGCACCTCTGCTTCAGATTACTGCCTGTGGCTAACATAAAGGAACACGCACAGTGGGTAAAAGTCAGGCCTGACCTCTGACCTGTTTGTGCTAAGTAACCACAGGCGTCCTCTCTTGATAAAATATCGGGGAAATGCACTGCATACAATTACTGCTAGTGTCAGAAAATCCTCAGACATATGCCACATGCCGCTTTTCCTGCTACTAGGCAGAAGGAGACACAATCAGCGGCCACTTCAATAGGAGCATCATAACAAATTCACAGTATGTTCATAATGTAGACACAGAGAAGCAGTTTAACTTTTTAGGCCAAGCCCTAATAATTTACATTATCTATGAAAATAGAAACAACCCCATGAAAAACTCAACAAAAAAAGAAATACATTTAATGCATCAACATATTAAATAATTACTTTGTTTTTAAAAGTCTTAAAAAAAATGTCAGGTAAAAAAGATATATTCTAATACTAATTATATTTGGTTTTAAAGGTTTAGGGTCATTAAACACTGAGCGCACTGAATGAAACCTACAGGAGGTCAGAATGAGGTCAGAAATGAGGTCAGAGTAGACGCTACATGACGTTGAAGAATCCTGTCTGGTCTTTTCTCTCACTTGAGGAGCAGTCGAAAGTGTCTTTAATTGAAATCAGCCTGTTTTTCTAAACTGACAGCCCATTCATCATGGCCAGAGAATGCAGTTAGGCACACAGTAGAGGGCCTGTCTGGGAACTGCTACCTGTATTCAGTTGACTGATTTAATGAACTGGAAAGTGCTTTTGTTGGTAGTCAAAATGTTTGGATTGGACCTGGAATGTAAAAGAAGATGTGATAAATTACTCTTTTTCTGTGCATTAATGCTGACATATTTTTCTCTGTAGAGAAACGCATGCAGCGGTTCAGGAGTTGAAGTCATATTTTTGATAAGTGTGAGCTCTGCTGCCAGTGAAAATGAAATTCATCATGAAAATGTTTTCTTTTCCTAGTGGAGAAAGATAAAGATTTTTCTCACCAACGTCGGCACTACAAGGAGTTCCGTTTTGATCTGACTCAGATCCCGGACGGAGAGGCGGTGACTGCGGCAGAGTTTCGGATCTATAAGGACCGCAGTCATAGCCGCTATGACAATGGTACTCTGAAGGTTACCATATATCAAGTCATCAAGGAGTATCCAAACAAGTAAGTATCGAATAAACCAAAAATAAACATTTAAGGCGGTTGCGGATTGTGAAACTTTCAATTTAGTATGAGTAATTCCATTTCTGCTAGTTTTTAATTACACACAATATTGTTTTTTTTACTACTCTATATTTATCTGACAATGAAGTTGTACTAAGTTACTAATAATGTGTATTTTCCATGTAAGTATCCATTCATATAGAAAAAAACTACCAACAGTATATAATGTACTTCAAATAAGCTTTACTTCCACAAGTTAAAACGTTAAAGAAGTGCATTCTACAGAGAGAGTTAAGTTCAGTTACATTTTGGCAGGGGCCGGATGGGTATTTTTACCCCATGCAGTTATCTTATTTCACAGTTAAAAAGCCATACAGTCCAACAGCTTTTGTCTTGCACCGTTAAAACTTTCCACTTGCACAGAACGCCCTTCTATCTCCAACTCTGCTCTCCTTCATTCGCACCATGTCTGCCTTACAAATATAGTCCTCGGATAAAGAGAACTCCATTAGCAAGTCGGCCACTTATGAAGCTTGGAAGGTCCATCACTTATCACTCGTCTTGTGTTGCCTGCCAAACTGGCCGCGTCCCAGATGAAACCATGAGGGCCCACAATAGGGGGGAAGGGGCTCCCTCGGGTGCTCCCGTGGTCACTGTTATGCCCACCACCTGCCTGGCTTAACAATATTCCGGAAGTTTAAACCATGACATAGCTGAATACACAAGGGTGTACTTAAAAGTGGGCCCACATTTGCTTGCCAGAAATGTGTGTGGGTGATTGAAGGGGAGATATGGCCCTCCTGGGCTTTGAAAAGGTCCAAGTCAATGGACTCTGCCATCTTAAAGGGGAAGACTGCACAGGCTAGGTTTTCACACACGCTTTCATGGGGAATAGTGTGTTTTGGTTAGTGTTCACAAAGCAAGATTATTTCCCAGTGCGAGAAACCTTAGAAACAGCTTTGGAGAATTTGAGTTTTTTCTTTAACATATAAAAGTCACAATGAACTACATGAATACTATTAGTTTGAAGGAAGATTTATACTGCTTACAAACATAGATTGCTGCTAATTTGTTTAAAAACCTCAATATGGTAAAGTTAGCAAGTAGTTAGTAAGTTTAAGAAGCATATTCAAACCTATTTGTTATGGTATCTTAACAGTTTAAGATAGTGAGCATGTACAGCAATAGCAATGTCCCCAGTTGAAGTCCAGCCACAGACATTTAAAAATAACTTTGTTTCCGTTATGTTTACAGTAATTGTTTAATAGAAAACTATGTAAACTATTAGTCCTAATGAGTAACAGTATGATATTGAAGTCAAGATTTTGTGTTAAAATGACACAATAGTTCTTTTTCTACACAAACAAACATTTAAATTCCCTCATCATTTGGGTTTAATGAATGCATTTCCTTCCTTTTAAAGCATCTGCAGAGTTAATTTTAATTTGAAACCACAGCATTTACTATCATTTTTATTTTCTTGTTGTTTGGACATTGCAAAAAGACTTTGGTACTGTAATTTGCTACGGATTGTCGATGGGGGAAACAGTTGTCCTTGAGTTTTATTAACACAAAAAATAACATATTGCTTCATATATCTACAGTACTTGTGGTCAATCCACAGGGTACCCTTAAAGCCCATGATAAAACTACGCACCACCCTGACCTTCTTCCACTCCACTATATCAACGTCCTGCACTGGAACTGAACTTTGCTGCTGAACATAAATTGCTAATGGGGAATAGTGGCCATGAACATAATTTGCCGAAGTAAGACTTGTCTTAAGTGCCTCTATCCTTAAAATCCACAGACTTTGACTCACTCTGTGGAACAGTACATCCAGTAATCACAGATAAAAAGGCAGGATAAGCATTTTCCTTTTGGATTTGGCGGTGGGAAACGTGAATTCTTACCTACACAAACTCAAATTATCACAGGATATGAGCTTAATACTGTACATTTCAAAAAGGAAGTTCACCAGTATGTCATTCAGTCACTTATTGACCTTATGTTGAATTCCACATGAGGTGGAGTTTTATTACACCTGTAGTAAACACATGAATAATTCCTGAACTATTGGGGCCACCTGGAAAATCTTGATTCTGTCCAACCAGCGCCATTTAACCACAAAAACTGAACAGACGCTGCCTTTTCCGATCTGCCACTTGAAAGGAATCCAATGCAAACTGCGAAGCAGGACTTTTTCAACTCAAGGTTGATTGATGCCTTATGCCAGGCTCATGTTAAACAATACACAAGGGCTGATTAACATCATTCATAACTCCTGAAATGATTTGCCTGTCAAATAGCTGAAAACCTGGCATACTTTTTACCACACACAAATGTGCAGCTTATTACAAGTCACAACCTTTATAACAATAGCAGGACTGGATCTTTTCATCTCAAGTACAAAACTGGCATTCAAAACTAAATTAAGTCTTAAATACCATCACCAGTTTTTTATACTGACAGCCTTTCAAAAGACGAACTTCAGAAAGAGGAAGAGATGAAGGAACTAATAAAAGCCACTCAGATATTTGTCTTCTGCTCCAGTGTTCGGGCTGAAGCATCCATTTGTGATCAGTCAGTGATACCTCGTTTATCTGTTCCAGCCTAAGACCTTTTGGACTCCGTGTTTAAGCCCTCAAAGAAGCATATGGTTTCTTTTGTGTGTCCCATTAAAGCCTTGCAACATGAATGTCCACAACAAGGTTTTATTTGTTTTAGAGTTCAATACACTGTAACAGGCACTGAGGTTTAGTAATTTCTTTATAATGCAGCAGTAAAGTGACACAATCATCTTACTGGCACTGTAAAAAGCAGGATCATCTTAATAAGTAACATACTCACAGCTTATCTATTTAAAATTTTTTGTTGTTGATCCTTGTGAAATAACAGTTGCTGCTTGCATGTTTGTACTGGCTGTTTGAGTGAGCATCATTTGAACTGTGAGTCTATTAATCGCAGATGTTTGTTTCATTGTTTTTTATTACCTTCAGAGATGCAGAGACATTCTTGCTTGACTCCAAAAGGGTACAGGCATCCGATGGGGGCTGGCTCGTGTTTGACATCACGGCCACCAGTAACCACTGGTTGATGAACCCACAGCAGAACCTGGGCCTGCAGCTCTGTGTGGAGACTATAGATGGCAAGTCAAGTTCAGTTTTTGTTTTAAAAAATGTTAGTCTTGTATTTGTTACTCTTGGGATCTAGAAAAGGAGAGGAAGTCAGGAATTGTAATCCACAAATTCTCCTTTTGATAAAAAAACTAAAACTAATTAATCAGGAGAAGTGCAACATGTATGGTTGAGAATCTGTGCATTATTTTGTCCTTAAATCTACAAAGCAGATGAATGGTTTGTCCTAATACTGTATGTATTAAGACACTAGACTCACCCTGCAAGAATGAGCATTCTTCTGTATTTTAAAACTTTTTAATTTACCTTCTGTTTTTTTTACAGGGCGAAGCATCAACATGAAATCTGGTGGAATCATTGGGAGGAATGGGCCTCAGTCCAAGCAGCCTTTCCTGGTTGCTTTCTTCAAGGCCAGTGGGGTGTTGCTTCGCTCTGTCAGAGCGGCTGGTGGGAAAAAAAAGAACCACAATCGCAATAAATCTACTACTCAACAAGAATCATCTAGGGCACCAAAAACTGGAGGTACGTGCACTTTTAGGACATTCATTTCTATGCATCACTATATAATAAGATATTGAATATGAATAATACAATTTGTATGAGAAACTACAGTGCTCAGTCCTTCACTCAATTTCAATTCCAAGGCAATTTGAGTTGCTAGCAGTCCAAATAACTATAGCAAATGCTCCTCTCACTGTTATTGGCTATTATAGGCCTCCATCGGCCATCATGGATGCAACTACTAGCCTTACTGAATTGTTGTCTACGTTTTCTTCTGAAATCATATTATTGGGTGATTTAAATTGGGACTGGTTGAGTGATAAATCTTCACAGTTTAAGCAGGTTTGTGATTCTTTGAACTTAACTCAGCTTATTGATAGTCCCACTAGAATAAACGCTGCCAAACACAATAACGATACCCTTATAGATGTCATTCTAACAAATGCAGCTCATAAGTACGTGTCTGTTGGTGTTTTTCCTAATGATATCAGTGACCATTGCACTATTGCTTGCGTTAGGAGCACTAAGTTGCCCAAAGCCAAGGGCCTTATTGTACTCAGGCCCTGCGTTCAAACTCTCTCTGAGCAGCGCTTTCTACACGACTCTGGCGGAGGTTTAAATGGCACTAACCGATCATAGCGTTATTAATTCCATCTGGCTCGCTGTTCGCCCGTCCATATTTTGTATTGATCACAAACTTTTCATAGTCAGATTACTATAGACGACTGCCCCCCGTTCAGACCAAATTCGAGTCACAGAAGAGGACCTTCCATGGTTACCCTAAGAGAGCCTATCCTGGATCAATCTCTGATCGAACATAAGCCAAGTCGTCCTTCTCAGCACTAGAAAATCCTAAGCCCGCTAACCACATCAGTGATGACTGCTTTTTTCGTGTCCCCTCAGAATCAAATGTTCCCAGCCCCTCTCATTAAGAAAAGCTATAAAGCCGATCTACTATATCCTGGCCCTTACAACCCATCAATGATATATCGTTTAAACGGCCATAGCCCTCTAAGTTCTGGAAAACCCCCATACATCCACTTCAGACATCAACGCAAGGTTTCTAGTTCCCACCAACCAACTCCCTCCGCCAAGGTCACGCTCCGGACTTCTCCTTATTTCCACTGGCCCATTCACCAGATGGCTCATGTCCATCGCCTTTCAATGCTCACTTCAAAACAAGGTGGTTAAAATTTTTCGACTGAGCAAAGTCCATGACTCCTCTAATGGCCTCGTTCCCAAACCCAGCCACAAACAAAACCACCACTCACAGCCCCTAAGTCCAAGGAGAAATGCAGCACCCTGTTTTGATTTTTTGCCTGTTCTCTTCTCGGCTCCATCTCCTGAACGTTCTTACAGGGTTTGCCATTCCCAATTCCGATCTCAACAAAGTCTGCCCGGACTAAGACGGACCTCAACCCGTACTATCTTAAAAAAAACGCCGTCACCTTTTAAAAGAACCCTAAAAATCTTGCAAGCTCCAGATTAATAGCACAACCAGTAACTGAATTTTTACATCTCTCCCTGCCTCACCCTCACACACACTGCCCAGCCGTCTGTGCAAGCAAGCTCTCACTGGTCAGTATGCCCTCTCCTTGAAAGCCCTCCTGCCACTGGTGATCTCACCCTTGATTCTAACAAAACTCCATTGGAACACCCACCCCGTCGTCCCCCACTCCGATCATCTTTTCTGTGTTATCAAGATTCTTCCGAGTCCCTAGTTCTCTACTCAGCCGCTAAAACAGACATTATTCGACACAAATCCCATTTCCTGCTTATTTTTTGTGTACACGCCCCCAAGCCACAGCGAGCCTTAACCCCATATGCACATCTGGCAGCTTCAGACAAAGCACCAGCTCAACTGTGACTTCAGTCCT